GTCCCCTTTTTTGAAGATAGGCATACTTTAGATAATTTTGATATTTCAGGTAGAAATTAACTTTTTGAACAGATATTTAAGAAAAATTGTTAGAGGGCGTGCAAGTACACTAGCACAATCCCGAACTATGAACGCTGGAATGCTATCAGCAGCGCTATTCGTGACATCCTTCGCAATTACACGTACACTCAACCTAGCGAAGGGTTTACTTTTCCTAAAATGAGATTCTTGAGACTCCTTAGCAATTACTTGCCAATGTTCTACATTCTCACTTTGGCAACGCCACAATTACCTTAAAATGGCACTCTAACACCCGTATGCATATTCGTTGGCGATCCGCTGGCGAAAGCCCGAAATGGTGGCGACTCGCTAGAGATTGTCACCGGCATGTCATCTCTCGCAAGTTTTCATGTTATTTTATAGGGATTATTACCGGCATCTCTCGCATTTTATTAATGATTCATTTCTTAAAACTCAAAAAACAATGAACGAATATCAAAACTTGCGTGAAATGACATGCCAGTGACAATCTCCAGCTAGTCTCCACCTTTTCGGGCTTTCGCCAGCGGATCGCTGGCGATACACCGAAATGAATCTCTGGCAAGTCGCTGGCGATCGACAATGCATAAGGCTGTAAGTGATAGCATAGTTCATTCGACTGGTCGCACTGGTACGCATTTAGTTCGACTTTTTTAAGTGCCATACATTCGACTGGCAGAACTGAAAACTGAACCAATTGTTGTATTCGACTGGAATTGCCCGGCACGAGGACAATAATATTGTTGTTCGACTAGTGTACTTTTTTTCAGTGCTCTTTCTCGATGACAAAACGCTTTTAGTTCTGAATTGATTTTGGGTAGCATTTTTATAATTCAAGTTTATATCTAGCAGTGCACACAGCAAGCACGAGCTAGAATTCGACATTGGTGTAGCGTATCTTTATCGGTATTCGACTGGCACAGTTAGCACTTGACATTTCAGGCTTCTAACAAATTTTTAATGATATTTATTTATAGTTGCCAAACCAAAAATTAAATCTCTATTAATTTCAAAGATTTTCCATTTTCACTACTATTAAAAACAAAGATGGTAACACATTTAAAATTATACAATAATTCCTAACCTCCAAAATGACACTGGCACTGAAAAAAAGTACAGTTCCAAAAAATTCGAACTTTGAGCAAGAGCACCTACCAGTCGAACCAAAATTTCACTATGCCTTGGTACCGAGCAATTTGAGTCGAATGCAATAATTGACTATTAATTAATTAGGTTCTGCCAGTCAAACAGACACCACTTAAAAAAGTCGAACTAAATGCGCATTAATGCAGGCAGTCGAATCCGCTATTAGAGTGAGGTTTTATTTTCAATTTTTAAAATATGTTACCTTTGTCTTTATTATTATCCAGTAATAGTGAAGATGAAGATATTAGCGATGATATAGATAGAAGATTTGTATAAAAACATTAAAAACAAAAATTGACAAAGACTTTTGGATAAGTTGAAGTTGTGGAAAAATGTTTTAAAAAAGAAGCAAATTAAAATTAATACTTTTATATGTATATTAATAAATACAGATTGTAAACCTTTCACAGTTCAAAAGAAACTTCGGGATAAACAAAAATTCATATGGAATATTCAAGTACCAAATTTAAACATTCAGACTTCTATAAAAAAGATTTAAATCCCGGTGGAAGCCCACCCATAAATGCATGAGTAGCTACTACCGATAAAAACACAGATATTAAATTAGGTTAGAAACTGGAAATGTCAACTGTACCAGTGGAATACTCAGGTCGAATATCGATAAAATGATGCACGAACTGGTTCGCACTCAGAACGTGCATTGCTCGATATAATTTCAAATTATAAAAATGCTGCCGGAAATGAGTGCAGAACTAAAACCGCTCTGGCAATGAGAAAGAGCATTCCAGTCGAATGCGCTATAATATTTTGCATCATGGAATGACAGTTTTCATTATCTGACTGCATTTAACTCTTCAAAATTTCTTGGCAAATGTTAAATTTGTTAAAAATAATTTGGTTCATTTGAAGCACTGCTGATTTCTTAAGTGCATCGGTACACTGAAAATCAGAAACCTATTATCAATCAAATAAATGAAATATGTTAATTTATAATTAATCTCATGTCTTATATAGGGTGAAAGTTTATTTATTAAAAATTGAAATTCTCAATGTTTGCAAAAAACTGATGTTCACTTAACATATCAAATTAATTATTACTCTGCAATGGCGGTTTATCCATTGGTTCATTTGTGCAGTGAACACCCAATTACATTTCACAAAAACACATTTTAAAATAAATAACATAAAATATAAATTCAATTTTAATAATTTTATTGTTCTTATACGTGTTAATCTCTATTTTTGGTATGCCACTGCGCTCTGGCTAATCGCACCTCTGTGGTACACTATTCTGTGTGAGAGCAAGAGAAGGGAGAGGTTTTCGCAAAAGTCTGTAGCTAAAAAGACATGTTAACATCACTTAAATCACGTTATTTTGTGCATCGTACATCAAAAAGATGTGACGTCACAAAATAGGGCGGGCATATGAATGTTGCCAAACCAGTTTTGCCAGTCTAGTACAATTTACAATTGTAATAGTACATTATCGAAGCAAAATCTATTACATTTTCTTTCCCGGCGTGCAGCAGTGTTGACGTGTAAAATATATATTGTTGCCTTTCTGGTTTGTGTTCTTTTGCTATAAATATCATTTTTTTTGTTGGTTTCCAATGAATTATAGTGTCAATATTGTATACGACATTATGTAGATTATATTTTTTTTTTCCAAAGAACACCAAATTAAAAATTGTTAACACCCTTTTTAAATTAGCACAAACCGCTACTATTACTCTGGGACGAATTATAGCTCCGCACTGGTGTAACCGCACCTTCAAGGTTTTCAATAAGTCTAATACGAGTATATTCCAAGTTATCCATTAAAAAAAATATTTCCTTCAAATTGAAAACTAAATTCATATATGACACAAGTCAATTCATTAAACGCACTCGCAAGTAGTTTTATGCGAGTACTCGAATGTCTTGCATTTCGTTCGTAATGTCAAACTTAACGAGTGAACTTGAAAGAATAGGGCTGCAGGGTCTGTCGCTAGTTTTATGTTGAAAAATAAATTAAATAATTTATAATAAAATTTGACTTTCCAGTAGGACTTTGCAAAATAATCAGCAAATGCGTTAAGAATTGATTAGGGTGAATTAAGTTCATTGCCATCGTAGACCATTTTATTTGGAATGCTACTATTCCCCTTTTTTTTATTACTGAACGCCCTAAATTTTAAGGGATTTTGACTAATAGCATTTTCCTGCTCTTTAACATGGTTTTTGTAAGATTTATCAATGTCTATTAAAAATTTCTCCTCCACCGTTGAAATTCTGAATATTCGTACAACTTTTCTTGTTTTTTTTATAGAGTTTTAGGAATTTTGCTTTTTCTTTATTAAGTTTAATGAAATTGAAGTTAAGTCATGGTGGGTAGCTTTTGTATTTACTGTTGTTGCTAAGTCTCGGTATACATTGGTCAAAGACATCATAAAGTTTTGGAATACTTCTAGAAAAGTCCAATCAATATTAGAGATCAAATTATATAGAACATTGAAATTTGCTTTGCGAAAGTTATCCTACGATTTGGCAAAATTCTGTTGAAAATTATAAATTCAGTTTACAAGAGATGTTACAAGAGATGTCGAAATAATACAAAAGAAAACGAAGCTTTAAAAGGAGTAAATGGACAACAGAACAGTTGTCTTCAGCAATTAGTGCAATCGACAGAGGACATATGGGTATCCAAGAAGCAGTTAGTAAATTTGGTATTCCTGAAGCAACTCTGCGTCGTCGATTGAAAAGCAGAGATATTAGGAATAAAAATCTAGGCCCTCCATCTCTATTAGGAGACCAAAAAGAAACCAAAATAGTGGCACACATAAAAAAAAATACAAAAACATGGATTTGCACCTACGCGAACGTTTGTACGTTCTATGGCTTTTGAAATAGCCGAAAAATTGAACTTATCCCACAAGTTCAATAGAGAGTCTCGTAAGGCTGGTTATCCATGGCTAGATTCCTTTTTTAAGAAAAAATAAGAAACCAACCATACGAAAATCTGAAGGAGTTTCAGCAGCACGTTCATTGACGATGACAACAGATAATGTAGCTTCATATTTTTTGCTCCTTGAGCATACCCTGACTGAAAACTAGTTGCTGAATGAGTCTAGTCGAACTTTTAATATTGACGAAACCGGCCTACAACTAAATAACCGTCCTGAACACGTTGTAGCTGTTAAAGGGTAAGAAAGTGTCGTTTCAGATACATCTGTAAAAAAGGGAGAAACTATTTTAGTTATCGTTTGCTGCTATGATAAAGGTTTTTATATTCTACTAACTTGTGTATTTAAACGAAAAAACAAGAAGCGAAGGTCTATTGTGGTTATGTCAGAATAACAAGATCATTTTTAATTGGCTAAAAATACAATTTGTACCCCGGAAACGAAAGGGATTAGTGTTGTTATTTTTGGATGGCCACTCTTCCCACTGCAGTAATGTGGAAGTGCTCGAATATGCTGCCAAAAATATTAATTTTCAGTTAAAATAAGCACCATAATTATTTCAAGCTCTCCGCAGCCGGGTTGCTTACATTGTCCTGACCAAAATCATAGTCTTAAAAAGCTAAAGGATCAAATATCTACCGAGCAAGATTCTACACCTGGAAAAATGTTGGACAAAATATATCCTGTACCAATTACGCGTGCTGTAGAGTGTATGAGGAAACGGGCCAGACAACTTACTTCTGTTTTAACCAGCAGCCAGAATATTACAGAAAAGAAACAAAAATAAAAATAAAGAAGGTTAAGAAATCAACATACGAGTATGATAAAATAAAACCACAAAAACAAGAAACGAACTGTAAAGAAACATAAAATATACTTTGAATTGCGAAGATGAATCTAATATTTGTGCAGGATACAAGAAAGAATATAGCCAAACAAAAAAAAGAAGACTGGATTAAGTGCATGAAATGCCACCGGTGGCTGTACGAAGGCTGCTACAAGTTTTTGAAATTCTGCGTTGTTTGTGGAGAAAGGGCAGACAAGAAAATCATCTAGTTTAAATCAAGCACGTATTGTAGATTTCTAGTTTAATTTAAATATTTATATGCTTTAGTAGAAAATGTTTGTTTATTTGGTAGTATAAGTAAGTATAAGAAGATATTTGTGTTCGTTATTATTGTAAAATTCATACAAATAAAAAATATACAATTTAGTTTATAAATTTTTGTTAGAAGAATATACATATATGCGCTATCTCGCCTTATATATTGCATCATCTCTACTATATACTCAAGGTGAGATGAGGCAACAATAAAAAAAAAAGAAAACCATTTTTCACCAATATTTACAGACTTACGCCTTATTTAAAATATTAGTTATATCCCAAGTTAATATGTTATTTTTTTATGGTTTGGATTTATTACTATTATTTTGTACTACCTTAGAGGTTTTATATTGACTTTAGAACACGTGCGCCATCTCTCCTCGATTTACACTAAAGACAAGTAATTTTGCTCGAATTGAAGAATTAGAATTTCCCTAATATTAAGCCGCCAAAATTATAAATATACCTGGTACCTTTAAAAGTACTTAAAAAAGGAATTTTTTGTATAGCTTTCCTTAATATATTACTTTTATAGAAACTTTTGACTTTAGAGATTTTTCCGGGAAAAGTTTTAAATTTTACTACTAAAAACGTCTGGCAAGATTTCGTTATGCATTATATTCGATTAATTTTCCAATTTCTTGAATAAAAGATCGCGTCGAAAGGATGTCGGGCTACAATAAACTCACTAGAAAACCAATATATTTTTCCTGTCGAAAAATATATGTCAAGGCTCATCTATACTACGTTTATTCGGAAAATGTCCATGTAGAAATTGGTTTGAACGAAATAAAAGCTTATCTCTCCGTCATAAATCACTGTGATGAAACATTGACGGAGATTTTTGATTAATTGTTTTAAAATATATTTTACGTTGCAAACTAGTTCCAGATACATAATTTTTTTGGGCAGACAATCGGGAAATTCGGGTTATAAGCTCTGTGCAGTCCCACTGATAAATCCCAATATTAAAAAACTTGCATTATGTATGTGTGATAAAAACTCTCGAATAGTAAAGCTGCAGATAAAATACATTTATTTCTTATTAATATTTAAATAGGTATTAACTGAATAAAGCAACGACTATGTTCAATTAGAACATCTAAGAAAAATAATATCCTGTATATCAAAGTTTAATTTTATTTCAATATAAGATAAATTTATTGATCTTTTTATATCATTTGCATGGCATAAGCCAAGTCAAAAACATAGTATACTCACAAGGTACAATAAGTTGATAAATAATAAGCTAAAAATTATCCAGATGGTATAATTTTTTCTCGTTGCAGATTTTTATATCAGAGATTTTTTTGTTTTTTATAGTAGTTTGTTAAGGAAGGATCATTGGCCTTTTGTCTTAACCAATAATTGTTTAAGTTCAGAGTGTAGTTAACTCGGGAATGATATCTGTATCTGTAACGTGTGGAGGGTGGGTTATCCCCCCACGGCACTAAGGCCTTATGGTGGATCCTCCTAAGATGATAGGCACCTCCTAGCTCGTGAGCCAGACTACAGATTCAATGTAGTTGAAAACTTCGCCAAGCGGTGCTTCTCTTATATCGGCCGGTGTTAGCCGATACTCGCCGAACACAAGTCTTCTAATAAACGAGAACGTCGAGCAATCGTAAAGGTTATGTACGATGGTCTCATCTTCTTGTTCGCACCCTCTATATAGTGGGGATTCTGAAAGACCCATGATATGGAGATGCTTCCGTACTTGGCAATGACCAGTCAGAATGCCTGTGACTAGGCGCATATTCTTTCTAGTCATAGTCAAGTATTTGTTTGCTGCAGTGTTGTTATAATATCTTAAGAGCTCCCTGGTAACTCTACAGTTTCTTGTTTCAAAAGGGAATGTTTTTTAATTAGGTCTGTCACTAACGATTTTGTCAGGTCAATAGAAGGGACAGGTCGAAAAAGTATTTGGTTGGATGCTTTCTTGGCTAGTGAATCAGCAAGACGGTTACCTTTCCATGTGGCGTGACCTTCGATCCATCTTAAGATGACCACATTATTGATGGTTACTTTAACCAAAGCTTCGCGACATTCTAATTCTAACCCTGAGTAAATTCGTGGTCTGTTTAGGGTGAGTAGTGCTTGTCTGCTGTCTGTATAAATAAGCTTGTTCCTTTCAGTGATATTGCTTTTGGTGATTTCTTCTGCTGCTATAAAACTCCCCGTTAGCTCTGTTTGAACTACACTGGCACTATCACTCATAGCCCATTTAATGTTTAGGTTTAAAAATCTGGAGTATATTTCACATCCTGAGCCTTGTTTTGTTTTAGAATCGTCGGTGTAGATATGAATCGTACCTGCCACTTCCGGCTCTTCTATCTGTTGTTATAACTTTATATGGCTTATGGAAGATATATCTTGGTGAGATGGAATTCATGTTCACTTGAAGCAGTGGGAGCGTATCGAGCACCTCCTGCCAAAAGCGGCGTCTCGCCTCACCAGATCCTATATTAGGTTCTATTCCAACCGTGCGGAGGCGTATCATTGGCGTCAGAGCAATTTCTTTGATGTAAATATCAAGGGAAGTGAGACTAAGACTGACTTACACTGGTCGGTGTTGTTTTTATGGCTCCTGTTATGTTGAGGCATGCTGTTCTTTGAATTTTTTCTAGTTTATGGATAGCTGTTAATTTTTGGGTTTTCGGTACCCAGACAACTGCACCATACGTTAGCATAAGTCTTATGATAGCCGTGTAAGTCCATGCGACAACTCTAGGGAAGAAACCCCAGGTGCGCTCCACGGTTCGGAGGCATTGTTCATAAGCAATGTATGCTCTTTTGACTGTTTTTTAAATGCGAGTTTCATGTTAACTTGCTGTCAAAGGTGAGACCTAGGTACTTCACCTCTGTTTCAAAGTATAGTTTTGTGTTTAGGAGTTCTGGTGGTTTTAATTACATTTTCACTTTTCCTTGTGAAAAGGACTATTTCTGTCTTCTTAGGATTGATAGATAGTAAATAGTCCTTGCACCTTGTTGCATGAACATATAAGATTAAAGGGATGTTGAAGAACATCGTGAAATGATATTTATTGTTCATTTAAAACTTTTTAAAATTCTAATATCTACTATTTCCAGTATTACTGTTATTATTATAAAAATAAAGATAATTTTTCTCTTTATTGTACACAAATTCATTTATTTCTTTGATTTTAATTTCCACTTTGCTACTGAACATTTTTATAATTTGCCGTTTTTTTGCTAGTATTTTTATAATTTTCAATACAGCAACTCCGGTTGCTTACTGTATTGTTTTTACCTACTTTTTAAAAAAAAAAGTTAAATGTATTTGATGTGCTATGATTATTTGAATGAATTACGTCATTTCATATTCACGTTTAAACCAACAAACCATTCGAAATTTTGATATTTATTTGTGTTCCATAGATTAAACTTGACTTAGAAATTTAATTTATTTATGTTTTCAAATGAGTTATCAACTAAATTAATTAATTTAAATATATAGAGTAAATTGTACCCGTCTAGTAAATTATCTGTTTTGAAGATAGTAGGTACATTTTATATGAGTTTATTACAAAATCGCTCTTTAAAGCATGTTATTTAATATTGTTTCTCTTCATAGATAATACAGTGCTTTTCAGATAAAAGTATCCACCTGAAGTAATTTTTGAAGGATTGATTATTACAAGTTTTAGAAATTAAAAAATTAAAAAAACCGACTTCAAAAACGTGTAGATGCCATCACCACATCTTAACCAAATTTATATGGGACCACCCCTGAGATACCGCCTTACTAACAAAAAAGAATCATTTAATCGAACAAGGTAGTAAAGCATTATCGCTAAGCATACATAAAAAATAAAGAGTTTGAGGCTTTTCTCATGGACTCAATTATTAGATTTTAACCAAATTTATATGGGACCACCCCTGAAGTATCCCTTTCTAACAAAAAAAGAATCATTGAAATCGGACACCGTGTTAAAGAATTATCGCTGAACATAGAAAAAAAAAATATTGCGACGAATTGAGAACCTTCCCCTTTTTTGAAGTCGGTTAAAAATTACAAAATATCGCCCTAAAATGCACGAATTATCCGCAGCTAACGCTAGTATCGCTTTTGTTTTCCCTACCATGACTTTGCACAGAGTGAATACACAGCTAAAAAGGAGAATAATAAGTACACATAAATACAATGTTGCAAAATATCTTAAGAATACTTAGCCATCGCCAAAAATGGAATGGTACTATGGTATTATCAAAATTTTGAATTCTCACACTTGTGAAGTCTATGTTCTAACCAATATAAAGATGATATTGACAAATTAAAAAAAAAATCTATTAAAAATACATTTAGGACATAAACTATATCCAATAAAAATGCACGATTTAGAAATCCATTAGTAGTGAATAGTTAAAATAATAGTAGTTGGTAACATGTATGCGCTAATCGCGTGTGTCAACCTCTAAAGAAATAAAAAAAGGGGGGAACCGGGCTTTTGGAACGTGTTGCCGCCATAGACCATATCCTTTAAAAGATGGGCTATTCAACAATGAAAAATTTTACTCTTCGTTCAGCGCCATCTGTTGTTGTTGCACATAGGTGAGTTAAAAAAAATGAAAACAACTAATAATTGGTAATTTGTTCATAATTTATTATATAAATGGCGTTAGGAGTCAATAAGTTCTTCAAAATTAGAATTTGTCGTTCTTTTTCACTTAAAATAATTCTAACATTTTATTATTCACTCGACATACTTATATGGATATAATCCATTTGGTTATGTTCTGTGATAGATAAAAAATTGAAATATTTTAAGCTTAAAACAAAAACGAAAAATTATAATTTTGGAATTGTGGAACAAAAAATACATCTTATTGTAGGGACCGTGCGTTTTGACTTTAACGCCAACTGGTAACAATAATGTGAACTTTGTGGGGGATTTATTAATGTTTTATAGGCATTTATTGTTTGGTAATT